ATATAAAATGTTTTCTTAATTATTATTATTTAATATTATCAATATGTTTATTTATATTTATGTGTTTATATGGGGAGTTAATTTAATTAATTAACAGTATATTTCTGGGGGACTGGAACGAGATAATTGGGTTTCAGTTATTTTTAATGGGGAAAATGCAATCGACACACGAGTGCTGTTGTGGAATGGATTAAACTCGTATCTCGGGGCACAACTGTATTTGAAAAAACAAACCATCAATAAAATACGCACCTACATTGGCACCTTGGTATGAGCTCCCATTCTGTCACTGCTCATGTTTAGACAGTAACTTTTTATGATCTTTTCACATTTACAAACATCCTGTCATGCTGCAGAAAACATCCAGGCAGCGCTCTCTGTGTTTAATCCATTGTTCACCATCTCAGTTTAATTTAACGTCCGTCCCCTGGTGTCATGCCCTAGTTTAATATCCTCTGTCATTCTTACAGTAGAGCTGGTTCAAACTTCTTTAAAAATGAATTTGGGTTCAAGTGTTTGACAGTGTTTAAGAATTCCAGCTGCATGTCATCTTTTCTGCAGGTCATTGCTCTCTGACCTATTTTCTTTTTCTAAATAGGTCAGAGAGTCTGTTTGAAAATGTATGAAACATTAGGGGTGAAAATTAACTTCAGGAAACCTTTAAAAACTCTTAATCATCGTTTTTTTCCCCTGCCTCCAGGATTAGACAGGCCAAAGTACAGATCCTTCCAGAGCGGATTCTTCCAGACCCACTGTGTGCTGTGCAGCTACTGCCCCTCTGCAGGCTCCAGGTTCACCCGTCCTCCAAACCCCCGACACAGAACTACAAACAGGCTCAGTGTTGGTGGAACAACTATAAACAGGTCAGACAAATAAACAAGTCACTTTCAAATCGAAGGCCTCTTCCTGCTATTAATTAACAAAATGCAAAAGGTTAGATTTTTTTCTAATACATTTCCAAATAAAGAACATTTTAATAAATATAAAAATATTTTACAAATAATAATACTTTAATACTTTTGAATTTAATATATGTATTTTCAAATAAATAAATAAAACACATTTTTGATTCATTAAAAAGAACCAGTCTCAACATTTATGAAAATAAAATGGCAGAAAAAGTGCAGATCATTTAGAATGGGCTTGTGGCCTTATTCTCTCTACGAAGAGTATTTACTCTAAAGCAGCGGTGTCAAACATATGGCCCGCAGACCAAAACCAACCCGCTTGGGGTTTCAATCCGGCTCGTTTGATGAATTTTGAAAATAAAAAAAGACACAAACACTTCATGTTCAGAAAATGTTTTGTAAAATTATGTTTCACTAAATGTGAAGATTTATCTAATGTACTTTTTTTGCATGAAAAAAACCCCAAACTTTTCACAATTTGTCATAAAATGGGAACCTTTGTATCTTTTTCATCAGTCTGGATGAAAAATAACCATCTGTCTATAAATAACAGATGCAGCAGCAGCAACATGTCGTTGTACACGTACCATCTGTACTTGTACTGTATATATAGCAGTGAGACACAGTGGGTCATAGTTTGTCTTTGGCCTGATGCTTGGTCAACCTGCCTGAGGACTAGATGTTTATGATCACATGGTTTTAAATAAACGAAATAAATATTATTGTGTTGAAGAACAAACAGACCTTTGACCTCAGTGATCCTCAGCTTCGTGTTTCCACGTGAATCTCAGCGCTGCGTTGAGACGATGTTATCAACCACAGACATACAGTACATACCTATGGATTTAAAGTGTCTTCGGTCTTTTTTCACCCGTTGGTGTAGAAAGTGACGAAGTGCAGATAGGAAAAAAAAAAAAACTTCTTTAATGCTTAAAAGAGACTTTGTTATTCACTGATGTCTCCGCTGTCGTTCCTCACAGAGGAAGTTCTACTGTGCCAGGCTGACGCCATGGCCACCGTGGGTCTATGCACTTTATGACTCTGTGAGTAAATCACCTCAGTGCACACGGCCTGGAATTTCCTCCACATATAAACACCACGCCGCAGTGAATGTAAACCATGTTTTTTTATTTTATTTATTTTTGTTTCACCTCACAGGAGTCGCTCATGAACCGAGTGAAGAAACAGCTCCACGAATGGGACGAGAATCTGAAGGATGACTCCTTACCTACCAATGTCGTGGGTCAGCCTCTCTTCAGTTTTATTACAGAGGAATCACAGACGTGCACATCTGTTCAGTCCTTCAGGTTTTTTTTTGTAATCCATCTGTCTGGTTTGTCTCAGACTTCTCCTACAGAGTTGCGGCCTGTTTGCCTATAGGAGAAGCTCTGCGGCTGCAGCTGCTGAAGATCGGCAGTGCCATACAAAGACTGCGCTGTGAGCTGGACATTATGGACAGAGTAAGGAAGGACTCGTCCTGTTTCCTTCACCCACCGTTACCACAAAATCTGACCTCAAACCAAACAAAGTGACATTGTTTTTACTGCAGTACAAACAGTACAATAGTCAAAGACGCAGTGGCCTGAACTTTAAAAACATCTACAAGCAAAACTGGTGCCCAGTGACAACAGTGATGAGTAGGTGAACGCAGACAGTCTGGACCAGGGTTGTCAAGATCAGTCCCTTTAGAGCAGGGCTTCCCAACCCTTGGTCCAAGGACTGGTGCTGGTACAAAGGTCATTGGTTACCGTGCTTCAGTAAAAAATGTACTTTAGTTTTACTAATTTACTTCATCTTAAAAGAATCCAGTCATATCCCTGTATTGTTTCAAACCAACAGGTCAAAGGTCATTCAGACTCTGATACTGACAGAAGAAAGTCTAAAAGAGGTTTTAATTTGTAGATTTAATGATCCTCCAAGACCATTCATTCACAACAAGGTTGGGTTCGACTGAAGATCTGATTTTAGAAAATCTTGCTCGCACTTTTCCAGACACAAAATAAAGTCCATTGTTAGTTAATACTTCTATTTTTTATAAATTACAAATATTCTATTATTGAAATAACTAAAAGTCTTCATGTGACAGTCTGGTCACACTGAAGATCTAATCTGGTGTCGTGTCCCTGTGAGTGAATTCTGTGTAGGGTGGGCTCCTATAGCGTCCACACATGGAGAGAACATTTAACATCTGCGTGTCATGCTAACACTTGTCCTCTTTTCCCTTCAGTGCACGTCGCTGTGCTGTAAGCAGTGTCAGGACACAGAGATCACCACCAAGAACGAGATCTTCAGGTGAGTCTGGATGATGTCCTGGGCAGTGATGTCATCACCATCTGATACTGTGAACAGCTGTCACGTCCAGAAAAACATTTTCAGAAAGAACTGTCTTATTTATTCTTCTTCATGTTCAGCTTCGCTTTAAGGTTCAACTCTGCTGAGATCGGATGAAACATCCAACTGTGGCTTTTGAAATTTGAAATGTGATGTTTGATCATATGGAGACATTCAGCAGCAGTGAAAGGTTTAGGTTTCCTAAATTTGAATATTAAACTTTTTCAGATAAACACACTTTGTGTTTACAGTACACTCACGACCAACTCTCCTCTCCTTCTTTTTTTGTAAAAGTCTAAAACAGAGCCAAGTTTCCCCACTGGCTGACATGCATTTTAATTTTTTACATTAATTTAAATCTAACAACGGATGACACTAACAGCACGGTCAAGGTCTTAGAGCCAAGAAAACAAAACAAGAACAAATAACTCAAAAGATCATGGTTATCGCTGTGTGATTTGAATACAGATTTTTTTTTTATTTTCATTCAGACGTGACATCAAGGATGCTGTGCAGAAAAAAATGGACTTAGCATCAGACAGTGGAAAAACTGATTCTGGTGAAAAATTATAAAGACAATAAATGAATGTCCTGTAGAAGTGATAAATGTCACAGATCTGCTCAGCACAGTTCACCTCACTGTAACGTCTGTTTTCTGAGAATCTAGTTTTTAATGAACATTAGATGAAAACTGTTGGTGTGTTGGTTCATTATTCACACCTGATGTGATACTCATACTAATATTTCCATCCCCTTCCTCATCCTTCCCCTCACCCCTTCAGTTTGTCTCTCTACGGCCCCATGGCGGCCTACGTTAACCCTCACGGCTACGTCCATGAAACCCTGACCGTCTACAAGGCCAACAATCTCAACCTGACCGGCAGACCGTCCACGCTGCACAGCTGGTTTCCAGGGTAAAGCTGAGACGTCATTAACACTGAGTCTGAAATGAAAAGTCTTTCATGAAATTCTATATATATATAAATCGTCATTAACACTGAGTCTGAAATGAAACTCTATATATATACAGTATATAAAAACAACCTGTTCTCCTCCTCAGGTACGCCTGGACAATCGCTCAGTGTCGGACCTGTGGATCCCACATGGGTTGGAAGTTTACGGCCACCAAAAAGGATTTGTCCCCGTCTCGTTTCTGGGGTCTGACTCGCTCGGCCCTGCTCCCTCGTATCCCCCAGGTGGAGGGCGAAGAGGGCAGGGAGACCTCTCGCCTCTTCTGCCTGTGACACCTGGAAGCTGGGCCTTGAAAAGCCTTGAACACAGAGCTCCAGCTCTTCTTCCATCGCGAATCCTCCAGTCGTCACTGCGTCTCACGCTTTGTCTCTTTGTCAACAAATCCATCATATTTTTAAGAAAGGGCAGATCAGAACAACGGCAGTGATGGTTCTGAAAGTGTGGCGATGGCTCCAGGCAGAGGTGAGCGTGCAGCTTAACCAGTAAGGTGAAGGAGAACAGCAGGTGGATGAATGAAGACACGATCCACTCGTTTGTTGTCGAGTGTCTTGACATCAGCTGACATCAGCTGACAGCAGGTCTCACCGACCAGCCCCACACATTAATCTACACATTTTAGGAAAGAGGAACGAACTAACGAGTGACCAGTGAGTATCCAGACAAAAACAAAAAAATCTGTTCCGTAAAAATGAACCGACTGTCGACTGCAGAGAAATCCACCAGAACGTTTCACCCTGCTCCGTCTGGCTGCTCGGTGGCTCAGCTGCAGATCCGTTAGACAGTTTCTGCTCATCCTTTGACATGTTTCAACACAGCGCGTGGCTTCACCTCAGCAGCAGGGGCCGGGTTGCTTCTGTGAACTCGCTGTATTCATATTTATTTCCAAATATCGTAAGGACAGGAACCGGTCTATGGTTTTGATTTTTGATTTTCTTTCTCATTTTCCCATTATGGATATGGCAGGTTGGGTTCGGCCTCACGCTCATTTAGCGACGACTAGCACAAAAAGTGAGAAAAAAGTGATGGGGTAGATCAGATGTCGTTGGGCCTGATGTTTGGGATCAGACTAAACCAATCGGAGATAATCGTTTCTAGGATGGAAAAAAAGAAGCCGGAAACTCGGATCAGTTTCATCATGTAGCTCTCATTACAAATAAATAAGGGACACACTGTCGTCCTACACGTCCTGCTGTTTCAGAGCTCAGACCGAGGTCTAAAAAACACAAAACATTGTGGGGTAACTTAAAATATTATACAAGTCCATTCAGGTTCACCGTGAGACCACACGAACACAGACAGGGTCCTGAAAGAAGCGGCTCATGTTGCATTGCACTTGTGATGATATTTTGAGTATTTCAGAATCCAAAAAGTCCTTCCAGTGGACTCACCACCTGCAGGAAGGTTCAGAGGGGTTGGTACGGTTCAATGTAATTTGGGTGGTGGTCATGGAGACTGCCCGGTAACGGATAAGTGGATGAAAATGGATGGATGTGGAATCCAGAAAGACTGTTCTCAGAAATTTCCCCTTAAAGGTTTTGTTTTCACCGATGGCTGCGGATGGAAACTTTGATTCTCAATTTTCTAAATCAGTGCACAGAGATTTTTTTGATGCTCGTACTGCTGTGTCCACAAAAACAAATCATTTTTTGCATCGATGCGTCTTCACTACAGCGAGTCTGCTGTGTGTCCGACAAACGCTCCGTCAACATGGCTGCACAACTGGCCGACTGTCACGGCAGAGAGTGTTTCGACTACTGGGAATAAATGAAATTCATGTATTTGTAAGAGCAGAAAGAGTTTTCTTTTTCTGTTACTTGGGCCTTTGTGTAATAAAAGATAGGAGAGGAATTAAAAATATAGATTTGACTGGATTTAATGAGGAATGTTTGATTTGCCAGACCTATGGTCTGATAATTTTTTTTTTTTTTCAGTTTAGTTCAGTCTGTGTTGGGTTAGAGTTGGTGTCTCCTGATTAAAACACTGATCTGCAGAAATGAATAAGACGTGATGAAACTTTAGGTTTATTTTAAAATTTATTTGAACGTTTTCTAATCAGGGTTTCACTTGCAGTTGTGTTGCAGGATGCTGGCTTACTTTGTATAGATGTCAATGTGAATTAGAGGCAACCAGTGAAAATGTACTAGTATGTTGTACTAGCGTGCTGTAGTATTTTACAAACGCCTTGATGAAGCTAACTCTTGTCTTCAGCTCATTGAATTCGATCGAGGACGTTTCAACGTGTAGAACGGTTCGCTCTCACTCAGAGTCAGATTTATGATTATCACGAGGGTAAATATAAACTTTAAACTTCCTACATCTATGCATGAGTGTTACCAATCAGAAAAAAAAAAAACCTGGGCAGAATTTGTACATTTCCAAACCTGACGCCACCGCTTCGCTTCAGGAATAAAACGCCGTCGCCACAACTGCAGCGAAGACAAATTTGTGATTTATATTCTTCCTCCTTGACTTTGTTCTGTGTCAGTGTTTTCTGGGCTGTCAACACTTTTTGTGTGTGTGTGTGTGTCACTCAAAAACAAGTGAAAATGTGTCCCTCAACAAAGCAGCGGCCTGGCTTTTCCCATCCCACGGCTGTACCACCGAGAAAAATAAACAGTTCTCCTGTCGTCGTGTGTTCCTCAGCCTGTGTTTATATTTGGGAGTGTGTGTTCAAGAGCACTTTCTTTAACTGCCATAATTCATTTTACAATACTGTGCCACTACTGTGGCCAGTCTTTGGTGCTTTAACTGCCATAATTCATTTTACAATATATTTTACAATAGAGTCAGACTGATGAACTGGCACGTGTTGTTGTCATCGTCGTCGTGTCGTTACAGCCCGACGTGTGACTGCACGAGGTGAATACATGTGGTCGGAGAGTCATTTGTATTCAGGCACAGCGAGAGACTAACGAGGCTGAGGGCGAGAGAGGGCGAGACGTGGAAAACCGCTGGGCTTCGGCGTGAAGGTCCCTCGGAATAGAACACTCTCAATGAAACACGTTCAACACGTTCACGCAAACGGTTCTCAGAACTTCACCGGATTTGACCTGTAGTACTTTATAGAGAAAAAAACTACAGTGTAGTTGCAGTGTAGTACAACATTATACTTAAAACTAAGATTATAGTTAATTGAATGAATCTGTGGTGCAAAAGTATATATCCATTTTATAGAAAACTACAATAAAAACAGAAAACCAACTATTTGTCTTTGACAGAAAGACAGAGTCCAATTGAGTCCAAAAATCAATTCAAAACTTAACCCAACTGAATTTCTCTATACTGCCCCCTTCAGGCAGTCATCTCCAGGTGACAATTAAAAGCATACATCCTGTACTTTTAGTAGAGTAATAAGATTATTTCCTTCATTTACCCTTATGATAGACTTTTTGATTCTACAGATATTTATTATTTATTTACATTTTAAAAGCGTCCAATCAGTGCAGGTGGAACCAGCCTCGGTCGTTTGGTTGTTGTACACTGTAGCAACTCCTCATTTATGGTTCTGTGATGTAGTGTTTGTCACATGTGGTTACATGCGTCGCTCCATGTGAACTGCCACATGTGTGATCAGTTGATGGAAGCACCAATTAGGCTCCATTATTTTTGATTTACAGCCTGAGCCTGTCAGACAACTGACCTAAAGCCTGGAGTGATTATTTCATCTTATGTAATTCCATTATCACATTCATCATAAGATACAGGTGCCAGAAACAACATATATATTTTTAATTAAATCCTACACAAATAGTGAAATTAAAATTTTATATAATATATATATATATTTTAAATATGTATTTTATACTTTAGTGCATCGGTTCATGGACTTCCTGTTTTTCTGCCAAAGAGAAAAAAAAGAAGCTAATTTTCACTTTTCATTGTAGAGTTATGTAAATAAAGTGGACCTGAGCCTGAGGTAACGTTCATGTGAAAAGTGATCCTGCCATCCAAGATGAGACGTAACGTTGAAGTCTCTGCGGAAACCAGGTAATTGTGTAAAAAAGAAAAAAGGGGCAAATTGGTAGAAAAGGCTAATTATATAACGAGCAGGAGCCAAGGCAGAACAATGGAGATAACAGGCTTTTAGTCAACTTAAAGCAATTGTGATGAGTTAATGGTGGAAAAAGCATGTAGGTCACTTTCTTTTATTAAATTCTAATAAAGGACGAAGGAGGAGGAGGAAGAGGAGGTTGTTAACGTAAGAGCTTTGAAATAATCAACTGTCTTAATCAACTTTTGGGCTTTTATTGAACCTTCTCATACGTTTATCTGAACTTCTTCTTTTTGAAGGAGATTCTGTGATGTGACACAAACGTAACACAGACGTAACATTTTGAAATTTTTAATTGCACCTCGTTAGCACAGACACATCAAACTATTTACAATCTTTTGTTCTTCTTCTTTTGTTCTTCTTCTTTTGTTCCGTTGCGGCTGTTTTCAGTTTTTAACCAGGTCAGTTTACAGGGTTTTGTACTTTTTCAATACCTCCATCGCAGAGGACGGTGGGACAATATTAAGAAAAAGTATGCAACGATCTTCTTTAGTTGTTTACAAACAGCTGTCTCAGTTCTTTAAGAGGGAATATTTCCATCAACTTTTATTCATACAGGTCGTTTTATTACGACACATGATGTCATTTTTGACACGGACCTGTTAAAGACACACATACAGTTCATACAATACTGGTACGACACACAATAAAATAAATATATCTACAATAAAATAATATTCTTTAGGGTTCTTGTTTACACCTCTACGTCTTACTACCAAAAATTTGCAAATTACAATTTTCAGTTCACTTGAATGAAAACAGAAGCAGGGGGCAGTGTCGCTGCAGTAGAAAACATCCCTGTACATTCATTAAAACCAACGAGGAATTAATTTTAATGCAAATTTTGTTTTGTTTTTTTTCTTTTGTTTCAGTAAATTCCTGGATACTTTACCTTTACTTTACAACATCCGTTGTCACTGAAATTGTTCTTGAAATGTTCCGACTCCTACATCCACAACAAAGACGTGTGTATGGAAGGTTGGGAATTTTCTAGTTTGCCCGTCTGTTTCACTGAAACATCACTGACTTAGCACAGACCTGGTGAGAACACACTGTCCTCTCCTCCTCGTCCAGAGGACCAGTCATCCTGATACAGTCTTCCCTCCATCGCCTTTTCCACTTTTTTTTTTTTTTTTTTTTTTTTTGGCGTGGACACATTACCCTGCTTTTGAGTCGGAGACATTCTTGAAGCTCATGTACACCGTGCTGACCAGCGTAGTGTCATCGTGCATCGATTCCTTCGACCACAGCTGGCACAGCATCGACACCAGCTTCTTCGGGAGATGACCACCAAAGAGCAGATAAATGCAGGGGTTGGCACAGCTGTTGAGACTGGCCAGGAGCATCAGGATGGTGAACGACACCGCTGGAACACAGCGAAAAAAAAAAAAAATCGACTCAATTTTTACTTAATGTACTTCATTCAAAGAAAAGCCATTTACTTTTTTTTAAATTAAAAAATAATCTGGTAATATTTTATATTCTATTTTATTTAGATGTAACTACTCCATAACAGACTAATACATGTTTCTATAATTGATTATTATTTATTCAAGGTACACATATTGTTCATGGCTGTGTAATAAAAAAATAAATTTCATATGTTAAGAAACTCTGATGCACGGACTTTACTAAATGTTTTTTTTTTTTATCTCTCGTGGGCCACACAAAACAGCTTGGCGGGCCGCATTTGGCCCCCGGGCCTTGAGTTTGACACATATGATATAAACAATTCGAACCACTAACCAAGTGTAAACGTAGTAACACTTGGTTAAATGTAACTAAAGGGTTTAATGACTTACTTTCTTTGGGCGCGTCGTCGTCCCAGGCGGACCAGAGCTGGACGGTGAAGAACGGCGCCCAGCAGACGATGTAGGCCACCACGATGAACACGGTCATCTTCAGCGTCTTGACCCTGGCTCTGGACATGCTGCCCACACTGCTGGCTCTGGACGACAGGTGCCTCGCCTTTCGGTACAGGTTGATTTGAATGGCGCGGCAGATGCGTACTTGACACACCACGATGACAATCACCGGCAAAACGAAAATGACCAGCGTGGACCAGGTGATGTAGGTCTGAACCCCCCACGGTTGGATGAACTCAGCCCAGCAGTCGTAGACGCCCGGCGCAACCTCCACTTGTGAGAATATGAACACCTGGGGCAGGCTGCCCAGCAGAGAAATGCCCCAGGCCACGCACACCGGGACGTTCAGCCTCGTGCGTTCCCGCTGGAACTTCACCATGGGGTTGCACACCGCTTGGTACCGGTCCACGGTCATCACCACGACCATGTAAGTCGAGGAAAACATGCCCAGAAGTTGCAGGTACTTCACTAGGCGGCACAGCAGGTCTGGTCCCACGAACCTGTCCGTGATGTCCCACATGAGCTGCGGGCAAACCTGGAAGAAGGCGACCACCAGGTCCGCCAGGCACAAGTGAAAGACGAAGACCCGCATCCTGGACATCTGTTTGCGCTGCCTCCAGAGCAGGAACAGCACGGCGCCGTTGAGAATGGAGGCGCTGACAAAGATGACGCTGAGAAGAGCGATCTCCACTTTGGCCAGACTCTCATCCCTGTCCACGTCCACGGCGTCCACAGAGTCACTGTGATTCAGAGGACACATTGTACCGTGGGATTTCGACCTACCAAGACACCGAGAAACTTACTGATCAGAGTCAGTGTTTTTGTAATTTTGTGAAAAACCTTCCCTTTTGAATTAACTTAGATGAAAGTGGAGAAGAAGCTTCTGTGCTGCTGAGGTGGAGGTGGAGGTGAGGATGGGAGATATGGGAGGTTCTGGGTGAGATCTCTGCTGTTCTCTACGTGATATTTATGGACAAAGTAGTAGGTGGAGCTTAGGTTTCCTCCGACATGAACTTAATTGTTATTGCTAAAAGTAGTCCCTCTCTCCTGAGTAAACAAAGCATTTTCTCCTATGACATTAATTGCACTTTATCCATGACTGACAACGATATTATAAGCTATAATATAATATACAGTATATTATACTATATATAATATATATACTATAATATATAATATAAGCTAATAGGTTTATTGTGAACAATGTCACTCACTTATACACACACATTCAACGAATCAAGGATAGACTAAATAATATGTGGATAAAATTGTACAAAATTAAAAATAAATAAATAAATAAAGTGGCTCAAAGTAACTGAACGTATATATAATTAGAGATATATAGCAGCCAATCAGCTTTAATTCCACCACAGCTGACTTAATACTCCAGTTAGTCAAGAGAATGGAAACTTTTTAGACTAAAAATTAAACATGTTTTAAAATGCTACACATTTGGTAGCATCTTTAGCAGCTCTTTAACGTCACAGGTCTGGTACAAAGGTTCAAACTTGTCGGTCCAGTGTAATTTTATTACGCGTGTGTCACGTCCTGCACCACTCGGTGAAAGCCGCTATGGGAACGGGATGTCGTCATTCATCTTTCGACCAATCACAGCGCGGGGCAGTCTTACGTCCCATCAGCAAACCGGAAAAAAGTGTAAACAAATAAGTAAGAAGAAAGTTCTTTTGCGGCTGAGGTATTTTGAACTTAATTTGCTTATACAGTAGAAACGATGTAACTGTATATACTTCGTGTGACAGCTTTGTATTTTTAACTCTAACAATATCTGCGAACCAACAAGCTTCGTTCGAGGTTGACTTGTCAGTCAGCTAGTAGCTAACGTTAGCCTAGAGGCTAACATTTTTGCTTCCACGGAACACTTTAAGGATCCTTTGCTACACATGCCTCAGGAAGGTGAGCAGTCACTTCCCCTCATTCGTTCCTTGAATTCGCGGAATCCAGTCAACGCTATGTTCTTCAATCGCACCACCCGTGTGGTGCGTCCACTGTGGATAAACTACACGGGGGAACCGCAGCCCTACCCTGACCTGCAACCGATGTCGGGACAGAGGATGACCACATTCGTCGGTAAATTGATTAAACCATTCTTATACTCATCAAGATCGCTGTAGTATTCTATTAAGTCAACCAACAAATAAAGCGAATGACTCTAAAAGGACCAGACTAAGTCTTTGTTTATTATTAATTTTATTTAACAAATAAAGCGAATGACTCTAAAAGGCACAGACTAAGTCTTTGTTTTTAACCCATCACATCTTAATTATTAAGAGTATTGTTTATTATTAATTTTATTTATTTTTCCAGGTCACCCATGGATGTTCAGAGATGCACAAAGTAACGAACTCCTAACGGTGAACAACAAGGGGTTGTTTCTTCCTATGCCAGGAGAGGGCGGGGGTCCCACAATGGCTAACATCAGCGTACCAGGTAAAGTAAACGCGTTTAATGTGTGATTAATTTACTCATGTACAGAAAGTACTTGTTGAGTACAATAGAGCTTGAATCAGCAACCAATGTCATTATTACTGTGGTATACAGTATGTTGTTCGTGATCGCTTTCATCCAACAAAGTTATAAAATAGTTTTTCCTGAACAAATCACCTGAAAATAACAAATGTGAAAGAGCAGAGAAATCAAATTAAAAACAGAACGTCACGTCACTTTTCTGTAACAGTGTTTTTATTGTTGCTTTTTTTTAAAAATGTGTCAATCAGGAGTGACATTATTACAATTCCAATTCTGATGTGTTTCTTTGGTTCTTTCTAGTTTACAGCCTCAAGGATTGTGCCCTTACGGTCATTCGGAGACTTGTTCGACCGGCAGACTACAGGAGGTTGGAGATCGCACGGTGTCTCCACGAGGAGCTGGAAGATCAACCCAGCGTGCAGAAAGATCTGCATCGCATGAACCAGCAAGTCGAGCTGCATCTCCTGGAGAGGATTCAGGGCCAGGAGGAATGAGACAGACAAACTTAAACTGGACGGACAGTGATTCACTTTGGACACGTCTGTTTTGCACATCAGAAAGAAAAGATTAAGGATGAGACAAATGCTGTGTAAACATTATTTCAGCAGTTGTATTTTTTGCATCAACTATGACTTTATTGATTTATATGTTGTATCTTTGTCATGGTCTGTTCTTGCATTTAGTGAAAGTCTTCCTCTTCAAATATTTTCCTTTAAGTCTATTTCCATTTACAAATTAGGAAAAGTACAGTTGGTTAAATATCGCTGGCTCTGAACAAAATTTAGATTGGTTCATGTTTTTGTCTACCTAGATTTTGAGACATGTACATTTCATATTCATATAAAATAATTTGTATAATATAATATAACTGATATAATGTGCGTGTGTGTTTGTGCGGGTATACGTGTACATGCACGTGTGTGTGCAATCAGAATCTCTTCTAACAGGTCTCCGGATAATATTTAGTGAGAACTCAGCTGAGAACAATTGTCTGACTTTCCTGATGATGAACCTTTGTTCATGTCAATCCATCATGATGACAAAATACTTTCCTTTAAACTCGTTACTCTCATCGACGTTATCCCTGCAGGTCATTCCTCGCTAGGATTCTTCGCTGCCCAAGCAGATATAAAAAGTAATAAATGAACTGTTGGTGTGACAGGAGTCTGTCTGCCTTGTTGTCTATGGTGACCTGTCTATGCATTTGACAGCTGAATATATACTGTGTGACTTTCTTCTTTTATATATACATATATATATATATCTTTAAGAGGCTACTGACTAAAAACACATTTGTGTTTTGAACAGCTTGTAATAAGTTTCCTTCACTTGGTCTTTTGCGAAACTCCTTAAAGTTCATTATGTGCTGCTGTAAATTGTGTATAAATAAAGAGAATATTCTTCGTACTGGCAAAAGCTCTCCATGTGCTCTTCATATGAAAAGAAAATGTAGCCACATATTAATGAAATAGTTACCATCGCAGGACAATAATAATTTCAACAAAAAGATTCATCAAACTGCTGCAGGTCTTATCAAAGTAAATGATCAGAGTGGAAGATCTGATTAGCTCCAGGTGATGACAACAGGAGGATTGTGGTCGAGCGTTGCCTAGTAACAAAGTACAACTATCTTTGCAGGAGGTAGACAATCAGGCGCTCGGTACAACCTAATTAATCTACATACAGTACATTATACCATGACAACTGTCAAACCCATTAACTTTCCGGTTTGCCGGAAAAGTTTTTTTTCTACATCTTAAAAGTCAATAATTATTTATTTTAAAATAATACGGTGAAAATCAAATGTAATAAATAAAATATGATGATGATATACACCGTGCTTCTTGTCTCGGTACCCTATTAGTTCACATTATTTTCTGTTAGCCCAAACAAAGGCTGCCTCCAAGCCTACAGTGACCTGATCTAGAAAAGAACGATTACCGTAAAGAGAGAAACAGCAATTTTGACAATTTAAAACATTAACATCGGTCCCTGTGATTAAACAAATGTACTCCAATATTTTAATGTATAAACATTCCGTTTTTAGTTCATATTATGAACTAAATGATGACCTTAAAGACTGTAATAGTCTACGACCTGATGAATGCGACATTGCTTTATACGAACATTTGTTGAATTGCACTTTATCAACAAGGTGCTTGAGTTTTAAATGTTGTTTTCGCTTCTACAGTCTTGCTTTGCTCTGTTGAATATTTCTGGATGTTTGCCTTGTTGCTTTGTTAGCTCTGATTATTGCTTTATTTGATGTTTTTTTTCATATGATTTACTCAGCAGTGCTTCCTAAATAAAAGTACATAGTGTGTGGGGTTGTGAAGTACCCATGTTCTATTGGACAAGGACGGCTCTTAATTGAAGAAAAGAGGAAACTAGGACACGCTGGTCCATTAGCCCTGCAGCAAGAGTGCTTTTTATTTTAAAGATGTTTTTCCGTCTTTTGCTGCAGTGTTCCGTCCCTGGAAATGCTAATGGATAAATGGAAGGTGTGTCTTATGAGAGCTTCACACAGGGCTTTTAGGTCCTTTACAGTTACATTTACACAATTGAGGAGCCCTTGTTCGCAGCTGTGTGTCTGGTTATTGAACAATAACAGGAACATGGCGTAGGTACAGTCTAATAAACAGTCTGAAGGACAGAGGGAGGAACTGAGGACGAGCATGAACATAACTGACCCACTTATTTTACAGTTTACGTGTATCTGGTGACATAGGTAGAGAAATATTTAGCCCATGTAAAAGGTTCAATATTTATCAAATATAAGTAATTTAGGATTTTTTTTAAATTTTATTTGAAAAAGAAGATAAATCTATTTAATTTCAGGTATTATTTAATTTCTAATTACAACAACACTTTGTTATAATCTTTCTTTGGGTGTTTATTAGAGGGGGAAAAGGTGTCCATTCATTTATTATAACCCTTTTTGTTTGTTTGTTTGTTTTTTTGTGTGTGTTGGATTTTGTTCGACATGTCATTTGTTATTGGATTGGAAAATGATTAAAAAGATGACGCCGTAACAGCAGATGGCACTGGTTCACTCGTGGTCAAACTTTTATTAGTAAGCAGAAGAAGAAAATTTCACCACAGAAACACCAACGAAGAAGTCTGAGTTAACCCCCATGGCTAATGCTATATCGTTGTAAACTATCGCGAAAAATAATCCAAAATGGACAAAAAGAAGAAACCGTTTGATGTGACGGCTTCTTCGGTAAGTTTCCAAGATGTTTTGTCGTTCAATTTTTATTCGGTAATGTGTACTTTTACTATACCGAAAGCTTACAAACAGGCGACATAACGTGCGGCTAAATGCTAATTCGGCTAAGAAATATGAAATACACGCATTTTGACATGTTTTTTTAAAATGATCTTTTACAGTTAGTCGACCTTAAAGCTGAATTGTATCGGAAGCAGGAACAGTTTAAAAAAGACAAGCTTGGACAAGACAGCGCCTACACAGGCCTCAAATCAAAAATCAAAGAAAAGGTATAGTATTTTAGTTTATTTAGCAACGTTTGTGTATATGTTTGTGTTTATACTAGTACTTATACTACACTCCCTGTGTAGAAACCCAGTGTTTGGATAAAGCAAAACCCTGGTGTTTCAGCAAGAGCTGAGAAAGATTCAGAACAGATTGCCGAGGAGCAGAAGAGTCTCACTGAATCAAGGTAAGTTAACACGTTGTTGAATTTCAAACAGTTACCTGAATTAGTCATTAGTCAGATTCATTGATTGGTAATCTCGTTTACAAATAAGTAAATGCAGCAGTTATATTTTTATGGCAGGTTAAATGATCGCAGTAGCTAGATACACACTGTAGTAAACGTCATGTTCAATGGTTTTATTTAAGGTCACAGTAAGAACCATCATTAGAAATAAACTGTTGCAATAATATAGTATGTGTTCAATGTGGTTATTGTAAAAAAAAAAAACAAACCAACAGTGCAGATATAACTGTTTCCATCATTCGCTTCTGATGAAGTGCAAACCTGCATGTGACAAATGAGTCTGTACTGTTGAAAACTGTAACAATGAATGATTGCAGCACAAAGAAAATCTGAGTTTTTTGTTGTCAACCCAAAATATAAAAAATATTTAACCACTTAACTAAAATCTATGTGCATCTGTACAAATGCAAGTTTTTTTTACTTTTGGAGTATGAAATTCTAATCCATGAACCACCAGAACTCAGTTAGACAAAAATCAGATTTCTTTCTAACAGTGGATCCTAATTTCAAGACCTCATAAAAACTCATATCTAATGACACGTGTACAAAGTGGTTCAGCGGTGCGTCTTTTTTTCCGTGCTTTGCAACAGACGCAAGTTGGAGGAAAAAGCCAAGATCTATGAGCAGATGACTAAAGGAGATTTTCCAGGTTAGTGATAAAAAAAAAATTGATTTAATTTTTTTTTTTTGTTGTTGTTTTTTTTCTAACATGACACAATTTTTGATTCATTTTCTTCAATTTTTTTTACATGTAACAGATGAAGAGACGGAGAATCTGTTCCTGGTTGATTTCACACAGAAGATTATTGAGCAAAAGAAACAGACATTTGTGCAGAAGGAAGTAGCGAGACATGAAGATGAAGAAAGTGACACGCTGACTCCTATACCTGCTCCACAACACCCAGATGAGGAATGGTAATCCTCATCCCCATCTCTTAATAGCCTATCAATGGACCATATATATTTATATACATTTATGTATTATTATTATTTATTTTTTTTAGGGTGGATTATGTTGATTCTCTGGGTCGATCTCGGAGATGCATGAAAAAAGATCTCCCAGATTTTAAGAAAATGGACCAGGATTTTCAGGGGTAAATACAGCAGTACTTATAAATATCAGCCTCTAGTTTTTAGGAGCTGACATGTAAAAAATCTGATTTGTTCCATATAGAAAAGCTTCGTCTGAGAAGACTCTGCTGTCAGAGGACATGCGTCGGGAGCTGCAGAGGCAGGAATGGGAGAGAGAGGAAGAGGAGGCGATGCAGAGGCCTGTTGGACCAATTCACTACGAGGACATGAGAGGACAAGGTTGCTGTCAAAGCATTACCATGGGATATTTAAATACATGACATGGTAAAAGAACAGGTTTTGATCTGACTCATATTTAAATAAAAAAAACTCTGTTCATCTCAGAGGCTCGAGAGCTCGGCGTGGGCTACTTCGCCTTTTCTCAGGATGAAGAGCAACGTAGGAAGCAGAGAGAAGCTCTCGACATGCTGAGAGGCCAGGTGAGCTGCTTCACATTTTATTGGTCACCAGGTGAAACAGTCCCATGATTCAGTGAGATTATAGAATCTCTTGACAGGCCTAATACTCTCATTATGTTGCTTTAAAACTTCTTCTCCTACCTCCCACAATTTGAAAAAACATATTTAAAGTATGTCCGTCACTAACGTAATTTAATTTCATTAATTTCATATTGTATTATTGACTGACTTTGGCTTTGAACAAATCAACTCTTCTCACTTTGCTGAATGTGAACTATTATATCATCCAAATAGAACATCCATGTCTTGGTCAAACCTAATCCTGTGGCTTTTCTCAGACAACAGAGCAGCGCAGTAAAAGAGAACGACTGAAGGAGAAACGAGAGGCCATGCTGCAGGCCAGACTGGCCAAGGTGAGACAGAGGAAGATGAAGAACAAACCAGAAGGAACTGAAGAGGAGCAGGAAAACGAAAACAAAGGTTGGTTTACTCTCAGGATAAATTACCTAATTAATTAATTAAAACGAAAACAAAGGTTGGTTTACTCTCAGGAAAAATTAAAACCTCTGAGTCGATTTGTCTTTTTTTTTTCTTTCTTTACTATACTGATGAGTTCTCTGTGATTCATTTGTTCCAGGAAAGAAAGACGACGATGATGAAGACCTCTTGGGACCACCACCTCCACCAGAGGAGAACCCTGATGTCAGTATACTGAAGAAGGTGGAAGTGGAGATCCAGGAGAGAAGAGACACCAAACCAGGAGTTCCTCATGTCAGAGAGTGGGACAGAGGCAAAGGTGAGCTTCATTTATCAACAGATTTCCAGATGATCTGAACTTCCACTTGCACGGACTCGAATGAACCATTAACTTTTTACTGTTTTTTTTTTTACTTCAGAGTTTATGTTTAGTGAATGGAAGAATCGGTGTCGGGAGGAG